AACAGAACATTCATCCTATTTTCTGAATACCCACGTGCTCCTCCAGATTTAATTGTGCCTAGCAGTCACTTGCCAAGGTGAGATTAGGAGGATTTACTGTCTGTATTCAGTTAATTAGGATAAAGAACTTAAAGTACTCTCACTTGGGGTACCAGGACCCTCCTGTAGAGCTTCAAGAAAATATTTTTTCATAATCTCTGGTGATAATATGCTTTCAGCAACCTGTAATTCTACAAATTTGATGATTTTTCCACGTATATACACAACACTCAGCAGAAAAACACCCTGTAGGTATGTATCAGAATTCACTGTGTGATATCGTGTCTACCTGAGCAAAGGAACCTAAATAGACATAATATTTACCCTCATAGTGCTGATAATATTCACTTTTAAGGTCTTCTGGAAACCCTGTCAACTGAAAAATGATGATCACCCAACTGTATGTCTGTGGTTGAAAAACCATTTGAATTTCTGGTAGCTTCTGAAAATATTTGTTAGAAAGACGTAAAACAAACAAAACAACAACAAAAAACCACACCAAAACAAAAAGAACAGCTTAATCTTTTAATGATTACTAGAATAACTGTATTTCTGAGCCTGCAGACATCTGTTTGAATGATCTCTCAGGTAAATAAAAGCACAAAATTATTTTATTCTCAGATGAAATTTTGACCTGCAGTCCTTGAAGGATTACAGGTAAGATCTGAGAACATGAATTTGTTTTCTGGTTTGTACATATTTGTCTGCCTCATCCACACACAGTATCTGATATGTATAAGTTACCTACAGGCACATCAAGATGGCTTCTGTCTTGGCGATATCTTCTTCCTTAACCACAAATCAGCTGTTCAGACAAAAAAATAACCTTTGCAGAGTTCTTCATGTTCACTCCACATAGTATGTTAGTTCTTAAGAGTTTATTACACTTACATGAGTTAATTCCACCACTACCCAAACAAGGATGGAGCCCCAGGATGAATGGCAGAACTACTAAAAATAGAAGCTAGATCTATATTAGTAACACTGCTAAGGATTGTTCACTTCTGCTACTTGTACTGACACTTCTGCTTCTCATTCAGCATTAGCATCAAGAGTATTAATTACACAAATCAGAATATTGTAAGGTAAGAAATGTTTAGGAAATTCTTAAATTCTTAAGTAGAAAAGAAATAATATTCAGATTTTTTTCTTCCTTACGCTTAATGCCAATTAGCGAAGCATAGTTGAAGTTAATAATGAAATGCAAATGCAAATAAACATGGTTTTAATAAATTATTATGATTAGTATTTACAATGTGGTTACAGTGAGTACAATTGTGGTCGTGGTTGACACTGCTGCTCATTATGACAGATGTTGTATTATTAGGTAATACAATTGATCTATAATATGCACTAAGTAGCTTTCATGGATTTCCCATCTTAAAAGCTTTTGTGACTTTATTTTCAAGCAACTTTAAAATTAAGAAAATATTATTATAGTAAAGCATGATATAATGAGCAGGAGAAAGAAACAGGTTCTAAAAGATGGATGAGATGCTGCTCTGTAAATTGACCTTTCAGAAATATCCCCTCCCTTCACTGATTTTCAAAAGGAGTGTAAAGGCAAAATTATTTTAATTACAGCTTATAAACAAAGATATAAGCAGTTACTATTACATGTAAGTCACATCTGTGCCAGCTACTGTTTGGTATTATAATGTAGAATAACCACTTGCATTAAGGTTTCATGACATATAACATTCTGTCCTGTTTTTCAGATTCTTAATTCAGAAAATTTTCAGCTGCTGTGTCACATTTTTTCCATAGATAATTCTCCAGTTCTCCAAAGAACACAATATAAGGTCAGAAGGATAAAATCCTGTTCAAAATAAGATTCTTCTGCACCAAAAAAACTTAAGGTAAAGACCACCACCACAAAAGAAGTTTTTTTGGGAGAAAGGACACACACTTTCCCCATAATGCAGGAAAAGGTCTTGCTTTTTTAATAGCCTTAACCATGGAAAACACATGGGAATAAAAAGCTGAAATCTGATACAAAAATAACTGTCATGGCAAAGAAACATCTTTGAGTTTTTCATCAAAAATTGGTTTAGATTTGAGGGAGAGAAAAGCTTTTGAAAAGTGCAATGTCTGCATACTTGTATGAACAGGATTTTTTTTTTTTTCCTCTAAGTTCATAAAGTGCTCAGCTAGGGAAGGCTACTCTGTACTCAAGCTTACTGCTAACTGTGACGAAGAAAAGTAAACGGAAGCCACATAAAGAACTGGTTATCTTTTTGAATACTGTGCTCTTTGCTCAGACAAAACCAACTTCCTTTACTATTTTACTATTTACAAGAGTTAGGCAGTGAAGGTTGTTGGACCTTATGCTTTCATTTCCCCTGATTGCTTTTACCCTTTAAATGGGTCTCAAGTTGGCTATCTTGAAGTTCTTAATCTTTTCCTTTCCTGTTTTTAGATATCACTGCAGTATAGATATTGTATTAACACAAAATATAGTGATTGAATAATAAATAAATACATTTAAAAAAGGATTTTAACAGACCGAGACCCAGGTCAACATCCCCTGCTTTATTATAACCAACTTTCTGCCAAATATTCCAGAATACTTCCTGCAGAGATTTTGAGCTCTCAGGTCATATGGATACCATAGCATATACAATCTAAGGTGAAAATGTTAGCTGAGTTCAGTACTGCTAATGCTGAAATGAAACACATAATCACTCCCATGGAAATTTCCAACTTTCCTGTGATTAGATTCAACATCTTATTTTTTTTTTAAACAAGTTTTGGCTCCCTTCCTATTTATAGGTTTTTATAGCTTTTTTTTTTTTAAAAAAAAAAAACAAAAAAAAAAACATGGGATTAAAAATCACATGTTATTTCTTTGGTGAAGTTAAATGTAATAACAGTATGATGATACTATTTTCCTGCCCTTTTTTTTAAAAAAAAAACAACAACAACAACACACACATAGAAAAGTAGATTTCCTTTTGAAAATAAACTCATGAAATCCAAAAAGGAACAGTTCTCTTTCTTGGTATAAAATCAAATATGACTGAGAACAGGGTCTTCATTTGATTTTACTGTTTAATATAAAAGCTCATTAACTTAAGCAATCCTCAAATATTCCAAAAGACAAAGTGTTTGTACTGCCAAGTTTTGTTGCATCTGTGTTTTCAGAATCAGAGAGTACATTTTTTTATTTCCATTTTTTTTTTCCTTTCATACAGCAAGGAGGTGGCAAGTGTTATTATCATGCTGGTATGGCAAATATATAACCCCATTATCAAAAGCCAATACTATAGACTTGACAGTATTCGGAAAGGGTTATGGCTTGTAAAACCCTTCGTTCACATTACGACTGAAACAATATTGCTCTCTCTCTGAGGGAGTCAGAAAGCAATAACAGAAACTGTTGCATTTTATATTATTTTATTTCTACTTAATGGCATTGGTTGTGAGATGCATTTGACTTTTTCTTGGTCTGATCTCAAAATTTACATAAATTCCAGAGGAAAATATACCTCCTGTTTTGAAAATTGACTGAAAGACTAAATAAAGCCGCATGCTTTCTTTTTCATTCCCTTGTACAATTTTCTACTATAAAATATAAAAAGGGACTTTTAATATTAAGAAATGCCTTATTTCTTTATTAGAGTAACTATTCCACTTCAAAGAAGCCATTTACAATCCATTTTCAGCTATACAAGCACCATTTCCTTTAAAAATAAATAAATGCACTGTAGTGTATTTGTCAGAGTGCTGCTAATGTAAAGAGAGTAGTGCAGATTTACATCAGCTGAGGAGCTGAACTCAAGCCTTTAGCATTTCAGACTATTTACTATTTCAGACCAGGTTTCCTTACCTTTAGGCTAGCTGAGCCACCTCTTCCTCTTCTGTTTCCAAAGCACAGGGAGAAACAATAACTACAGAGTTTGCCTTATAACATTTAGAACATTTCAACATCTATTTAAGATGTTTTCTCATGCAAGAGAGATCTGCGTGTTCTAGTATTTTGGAACAAATTGTTCTGTTTCAGCTAAAAAGGACTAAGAGCCAGGGGTCTCAAAAACAAGAACACTGAGGGAAGACTACAGCTGCCACCTGTCTAGCCCCAAGAGTCACTATATTTACCGCACTGAAACCCACAAGGAGAGAGAAAAGCAAGGTTTCTCATGAGGCTGCCATGGTCTGAGACAGGTTATTATTTCTTGCACTGAAGGCATGTGCAGGAGGGACACAAATGTATAAATTAGAAAACTTAATCAATTCCACTTGCTCAGCCTTCCTTTGGTGTCATCACAAAGTGAGCAAAACGAGAACAACTCAGGCTACTAACTGCCTTTGTATGATAGTGCAAAACTCGCTGAGGAAAGGAGAAATTTTAGCAGTAGCATCGTTTTGCCAAAGAATGACACACATTTGAGACAGTGATGGTCCTGAAACGAAACTTCCATCTTCCTTGCCTGAAAAGCTGATAAGGGAGTTGCAGTATCCATCTATTGCAGCCAGTACCACCAAAGGACGATGACTACCATAATTAACAACAGTGACAGTCCTGTGGTTTACACTGATCTACAATGTATTTTCGGATACCTTTGCTATTTCTTGTAGGTTTGAGAAAACAAATTGTGTTATCACAATATGCACTTGAAATGCACCTATAGAAAAATCCGCTGAAGGAAAAGTATACACGCGCATACCTAAATGTGTCACCAGCAATACAAAACAAAAAATATAAAAAATATTCACCACATTTTTACATCATGTTTTTCAGTTCTAGCTTCTCTTGTTAGCAGAAGAACATTCTTTCCAAATTAAAAAAAAAAAAAAATTGTTCCAACTATTTCTTAAGAGGTACATAAGAATATCAGCTGATACCAAAGTAATTTTAAGAAAGCAGAGCAATAGTTCCAGCACCTCACAGTATATCAGTATTAGCACACAATCAGCCAAAAGTCATATTCAACATTCATTATAAGACCAATTTACTGTACCTTGAAGAGTACGGGCTCCTCAGGAAGAGGGCTCACTGGAAGCGAGGCGGTACTGCTGGCTGGGCTCATGTCTGTACTCTGAAAGAAAAGCACAGAGCCATTTGCAATTCCAGTTAAGCTTGGAGCATGAAAGCACCACACTGCGCTTGGGTGTCTTTTAAAGGGTATCTTTTTTCATTCTCAAAAAAGCCCACTGGAGGTATTAAAACAAGAAGAAGAATCAATAGAATTGAAGTGAAAAAGCAACTGCTAATACTATAGCTTTAATTAGTAGAAGATTAAATATGTTACTTCTGCCTAAGTATTTTTGTATTAGGTATTTCAAATTAACTCTCCTTTCAAGAAGTAAAACACAAATATACAAAAATACTGTGTTTACAAAAAAAATAAACACAGGAGGGTAACTGAAAATAGAAAAAAATGCCATACACAGCAAACTACAATAAACAACTTTTATGATGTCCTGTAGAAAATAATAAAACAAAGCTAACATGAAAGCTATATGTTACAGGGAAGAACTTGGATCAATGTGTGTTTTTTTTTTTTTTTAAGATTACTCTAAAATGAATCAATATATCTTGCTAATGAGTATTCATAAACAAAAACAGAGAACAACAAATTTAATACTGAAAAAAAATTGGTAGATAACTCAATGGAGGTATCTGGTCACAATGTCTGAACGACTGATTTAAGAACCTAGCCTCTGTTACGTATTATTTTAGTAACTTAATGGGTGACATAATTACTTTTATAAATGACAGACTGCAAGCAGTGTGAAAATTGCGTGCATTTCTGAATGGTAATAAGCATACAAGAACAAAACTAATTTTAAGAAAGAGATAAAAAGAACATTATCAAAAACTCTTCTAGAGAAAACTACAACATCCAATACCTGTCAGGAAAGAAATTCGCAAGAGTCAATATAAAAAAAGAAACCAAAGTTATAATGGAGAGCATAAAAATCATGTTTGCATGAACAGCCAGGAGTCTATTCCCTTTTCCTGTTGAGGCTTTGCAGTGCAGACTGATTTAATGACTTCAACCTATGCAATGAACTGCTGGGGTATCTGCATTGCTAAGAGCTTATACAACAGCTCTGTCCATGAGCAAAGACTCCACAGGAGAACAGACTGTGGCACAGGAGGGTGGAAGCAGGCAGGCAAGAGGAGATTCCTAGGCAGGGTTTTATTCAAACAACTTCTTCCATTAAAAAAAAAAAAAAAAAGAGAGAGAGAGAGAAAGAGAGAGAAAGAGATCAGATTTGGGACCCCAAAATCCATTCCCAGACCTGAGAGAGAGGGCACAGACTCACAGATTCACCTATGATTCACCTATGGAGAAAATTGCTGTGCTTACTTAGTACGGTATCATTACGCTGTAGCTGAAAGAAAAGACAATAAATATTTTTTAAATAAAAGGGAGGTTAGTAAAAGCAAACCAAAGGGTAATGTGCTAATTATTTTCTAGGAAGAAGCAAGAGGTGGGCAGTTTATAACCTGTGGAAGGTAGGCGTTCTCTGGGAATAAGAAAGATCATAGCATGTCAGCAAGCCAGGATCTCTGCTGAATCTTTGGTAACCATGAATTGTTACACTTTCACGCCTGAGCTGTTCTTTACAGAAACAGACTTCTAATATTTCTTAAAAGGAGCTCTTTCAAACCACAGTCAAAACCGGAGACCTTCTATTTGAGATTAGTCTGTCTAACAAGCAGTCAGTTCAGCTGAGGATAATGTGTCTTTTAATAAACACGGAATGAAAAAGAAATTTAATGAAAAAAACATCAAATAGCTGCTTTCCAAACCAAACCAAGAAACCCTAATATGTAACTGGAAGCAGCAGAAAAACAATATATATACATATATATATATATATCAAGCCGCAGCTTATGCAAGCCTCAAATACAGCTAGAACCTCAGAAAGGTCAAACCACCCAGTTGTTAGCCCTTCCAACAACTTCAGCAGTTCCCCTCCATAAGGAATGCAGAAAACTTCAGCAGCTCCCCTCCATAAGGAATGCAGAACAGCTTCTCTGCGAGTGTGAATTAATTAAACCCAGTGGTGCCAGTAAACTGTATTACAAGAGAAGTGAGAGACACACTATCAAAAGGGTTGCTTCTTGAGCTATTAAAAAAAAAAAAAAAAAAAAAAACCAACCCCACAAGAAACACCTTTTTTTGGACAAACCTAAAGCCAAATAAAAAAACCCACACAACTGTGAGGCATTCACCCAAGGAGGGCTTTATATTTGACACTCCCTAACCCAATTCTGTCTGCAAAAAAGCAGACAGTCTGGCTTAACCTTGATTGATTTTAGTCATAAATTAACTAGGAGACGCTACATCATTATGCTATAATCCCACGTTAAGTGTCATAGTAGATGCTCAACACTCTTCATACCATAATTACTCATATTAGGCAAAAGAGAGGTAAATTAGGACATATCCTAATTTTGCAGGTCCTAGCTCTGCAACTGTAGTGTATATTTTACACATTTTTACAAGAAAACAATGCCACTAGGTTTTGTAGACAGGGCTTTTTACCTATATTACTAGAAATTTCCTACTATTCTAAAGGGCATAGATATTTCAAGTTGTAATCTCCTAAAATCTATTTTTACAAGGAAAAAAAAAACTGAATATCAAACAATACAGCTACTCCCCAGGACAACATTTGAGAAAATAATGTTATGCCTATATTGGAAAAAAAGGTTGCAAACTTTTCTTTGAATGTTTTAGCATGTCTTTTTTTTTTTTTTTTTCCCCTCTCCCCTCTGGAACTATATGTTAAAATCCAAAAGATGAATATTAGATGTTTGCAGATAATTGTCCGAAGATTTCAATGATCAATGCTTGAGCTTTTTTTCTTTTTTTTTTTAATTTCTAGAGCTGATCAGTTTAAACCTACATCATCTTCACTGTGTAACTGCACATGGACTGTGCAATTACTGCTAGTCACTGGATGTCACTAATCCTTAGGGAGAAACATTAAAAGGGTGATTAACTATCAGGAGACCTCTGGAGAAGGACGCAAGCAAAGCAAGAAGCATAAGAAACCAAATTTGCCCCACAGCAGTTGCCTGGTTGAAGATGGAGGTTGGAGGTCCTGCTTGAGGACACAAGCCCTCCATTTTGGCTGGATGCAACAGAAAGCAGCTCTTTCTGCAGCAGCTACCAAGTAGTTTTAGGCTTGGCATCCTTTTGTTATCTTCCTGTAAGCATGTCTCAGACCACAATAACCACTGCATTAACCTGTGCTAATTGCTTTAGCCTTGCACTGCATCGCTCCCACACTCTTTTTTTGCACACAGGCCCTCCTTAAAGCCTGAAGTTCCCATGCTGACAGCAGTTACTAGCACTCCTATCATGACACCTCTGTTTCTTATAATTTGTCAGGCGATTGCTGCTGGCAGAGCAGTGATGCAGCTGCGTGGGGCATCCACTCTGAAGGCCCATGCAGGGGCTTCTGAGATCCAACCTGAGGGCACCACTCACGCAGAGCGCAAGGCAAAGCCAGGCCAGCCCACACTCTCAACGGCTGAGGGACATCCATTCCCCAGCCATAGCAAACCGGTTCCCCTGGGACCAGCCACGCAGCGGCGCGGAGTCTCACGAGGTGTGATAGATCCCCTCATGGCCTTCTTCAGGCCATGGGGTAGCTTCTTAAATCTACCCAGCCAACCTCATAGGCTCTGCAGTCCCAAAGCAAGGCTGGGACTGACCAACTCCAGACAAGGAAAGAGGGGATGACCAGGCATGGTTTGGCTCTAACCCCTGCTCCAAGCCAACCCTTCCTGCTGCCACAGCGCTGGGCAGGGCTGGAGACACCAGAGGCCGAAGTTGCCTGTCAAAGAGTTTCACCAATTGCCTCAGGTGAAACGAGCCAAAAATGGGCCCAACGCTGCAATAAAGCCACTGCTATGAGCCTTCCTGAGCAAGGCCATGCTATTTGTGTCTCCATCCATTCACCACTCAAATTACTGAGGAAAATTAGAAAGCATATACCGTTCTGGTAAAATGTAGTCAATGTTTTCCGAGCAGCACACCAGACCAAGAATATAAAAATGCACACTGTTAAACCTATGCTTCTTAAAAAAGAGAAAACAAGAGTCGTCTCCCAGTCTTTCAGCCTTCAACACTGTTCCTTAAATAAAAATAGATTCATCTCATAAGCTGGGACTTTTCTATCTGTACAGTCTTGCCTTTAACCTGTACAAGAGGCTTATGTACCGACCTCAGTTAATTGTACCATAAAATATGGACCATGCACTCTAGATCATCCAGTGAGAGAAGCCAATTTAATTCCCTACAACTGCTTTTCAACAAAAGTAAACACTGACATGATAGTTGGCAGACATTGACTTCTCTTGGAAATCAGTATCGCAATTTATTGATCCAAGAAGTTAATACTGACAGAGAAAACCTTCAGTGGATATTAGAGCTAGAGAACAAATAAATCCTTATAATAACTAAAGAAAAGACAATCTGTGTACTTTACAGCTTTTTCTACGGTGTAGCAGATGAGCATTGAACTTGCTTCCCGAACAGTAGTTTTAGCTCCATCGTAAATTATGTCACTAAGTATCATTTTATAATCTACAAGTTGGGCAAGAGTGGGATATTAAAACAGGTGCAGTCAGCAAGCTCAATAGTGACATTCTGATACACTGAAAATAATCAGAAGACCGTAAATGTATTTATTAATGGATCTGCAGAGTATCTTTATGAAATATTGTGCTTAAATATCATTTTCCCATTTTATCAAGTATGGAAGTGAAAAAGAAGGTGATTTGCTCAAAGCTACAGAATATTGTTAAAAACACAGCCAGAAGGCAGGAATTCACCAAGCCAAGTACTCTGGTTGCTCAGCCAACATGTGCAACCTTCCCCAATGTGCATACTTTGGAAATGCTGTAACCTCTAATTTACAGATTATTGAATAACACTGAGACACTTCGCTGATACTTAACGTCGCTTCCTGCAAATAAAACTCTAAACAATGGAAGCCAGCAGAATTAAAATTCCTTTTGTTAACAAAAGTACCAGTTATATGAAATGAGTTTCCTACCATCTTTCATCTG